TATTTTGCTTTCCTATTGCTTCCCTATTCGACTATTCCTATTTGGATTAGGGTCGGGCCGGTCGGCAGCTCTTTCCTTCCTTCCTTCCTCGTATATACTCTATATAGTTGCTCATTGTAATAATTACTTTTATATGAAACCTACTCATTTGTAGTGGTAGCAGTACTCATTCCCAAGGTTCTAACAGACGTTAAGCGCTAGTTGGACGGTGGGCTGGGACCTAACACCTAGGTGGTTAGGCGGGGGCCTAGGCAGAGTAAGCTGATTTAACTAAATCTAATATATTTCGTATAAATAAGTGTATATTTATACTTAAAAATATATATAATTTCATCATAAACTACAAAATAAAATAACATATATATTATGAGCTATTGGAACATAATGAAAACATGGGGAATAAGCATATAATGTATGTTCATTCAAGTATTCAACAAGTCTCTTACAATTTATTGGAAAAAATAAAATGTAAAATGAAAGTTATCTATTTTCTATTTAAATAAGTTGCAACCTAAGCAGATGCCTAGGCGGGCGCCTCAATAGGTCTAGACGTCATTTCTTAATTTCGAACACCTATGCATTAATCGGGACGGTGGCCATGCGGGGATTTTTAGAAATCCCCGCCACAACCATTTTTTCCCCATTTATAACCCAAAAAATATTATTTAACCCAAAAAAGATGGCAGTGTCCGATAGTGAGAAGCTGGCTGTTCGAGGGTATGATCTGGTCGTTTGGCGACCAGGATTTCTCTCACCGCTTCTGATGGGTCCATCTTGGCTTCTTCCACTCCATATCGTGAGTTAGTTGGCTCCCTCTAGTATTTCACTACCACTCACCCTGATATTTCCTTTGCAGTTAATATTGTTGCCCATTTCTTGAGTTCACCTTGCACTGCTCATATGATTGCCTTCAAACAGATTTTCCGTTATGTCAAAGGTACTTTGGATTTTAGTGTTACGTTGATTCCTCAACTTGCTTCCGTTACTTTGTCTACATATTTTGGTGCTGATTAGGCTGGTTGTCCAAACACTCGTCATTTCATTATTGGTTACCTTGTTTATCTTGGCTCTAATACCATCTCTTGGTGCTTGAAAAAACAGCCGATTGTGTCGCATTTGAGTCCTAAATCGGAATACCACACTCTCTCTCATGCATGTGTCGCAACCACTTAGATTTGCTTCTACTTCATGAGCTTGGTGTTCGCTTATCATTTCTTGTCTTTTTGCATTGTGACAATCTTAGTGCCACTTACCTCGCTTCTGATTCAATTTCGCACACGACATATTGAACTTGATTATCACTTAGTTCGTGAAAACGTAGCTCTTGGTAATCATTTAGTTTGTTATATATCAACTGATCAGCCCACTGACCTGCTTACCAAGACTCTTCATCAACTACGGAATGGTGTTCTCCGCTCAAAACTTGTCCGATCAGGCTAGTCCAATTTGCGAGGGTGTGGTGGGGTGTTAGAGTAGAATTAATTAAACCGAAATTCTCTTTGTAACTAAAAGGATGTAATTTACAGTTGTATTTATTTTAGAATTCTTTTCATAATATGTACTCCGATCGTCATGGCATATATGGAAGAGAATCATCGGCATGCCAAGTGCATCGTTGGTGTTGGCTAATTTAATTAATTAATTAGGCAGAAGGGCACCAACAAACCATCAATCTCAATGGATCATTGGATGATTGAATGAAAAGAATCTGACAAGAGGCCCGCGTCATATCCTAAGCTATAGATCGATCCTTTTCCTTCTGTTCTTGGTGACACGTAGTTTCAGATTGATTTGGAAGAGAGAAGGTTCTTGGCCTTCGAGGCTTTGTGGCCAAAGTACAAACTCATCCATTTGTCCTTATCTTTCTTCTTTGCAAGTGGACGATGAAAGCAAAATCATACCCTCACTAATTTTTGTATGGACACATACAATATACATGCACGAGATAAGTTAGCATACGAAAGATCAAATTTTTGTCCCCTGTTATTAAAAACCAATGAAATGGGCAATAATAGCTTTTCTTGTTCTTAAAAAAGCTATATACGTTATATATTGTCGGGAATATATTAATATATTATATAAATTATGGGCTTTTTAATATTTTAATTTTGTCCCTTGTTATTTAAAACCAATGAAATGGACAACTCCTCCAGTATTGAGATTATTATAAGGTATATATAATTGTATATGCATGCACGAGTACGAACAATGTAGAATGTACTCCTGACGTAGTTATGGACAGCATGCACATGCAGATATATGCATGCATGCACAGGCCATACAATTATCGTATGGTAGCAGCAGTCTTTTGCTATTTTGGTTGGAAGGGTACTTTTATCAATTTTTCTTCAATAGACCCGCCTGCTCAATAGTATGAGAAATGAATTGTCATAGTTGAATAAAAAAAGAACTATTTTGTTTAATTGTCAAGCTAATGATATAAAGGCAGAGTCCAAACTATTTGAAGACTTATATGTAATTTTACTGTTTAAGTTGATAAACTAGTCACCCAATATCCTTTGTTAGATCAACTAATATCCTTTGTAAGATCATATAAGCGATATTTTTATTTGATATAATGATATTTTAAACTAAAGAAAATGAGATATTCTACTAAGAGTACGAGGGATTGAGTTGGGCCACACAATGAGCCAACTAATAACGCAAACATAATACGTCATTACCATTGATGTGCAAGGAAAATATTCTACTCTAATAGTAAGTGAGATTGAGCTGAGCCACATAATAACCTAGCCGATAACAAAGTATCGAACTCAACTTAAATATAATATGTACTCGCGATTCATGTGAGTAACATTAGACCTTAGTACTAGTTAGAATCAAACATGATTTCGCAATATCATAATTTCGCATACAGGGTGTCGGAATAAAAAAAATTTAGGGTGTTCAATCATATCATATTTTAAATTTTTCTAACTAAATTATAAGGGTTTATAGTTTGTGCCTTGCATTTGAGGTCAAAATTCGAATCTCATTCTCGCACTTCAAACTGTAATAAAAAAATCTAAAACATTATATATCTATAATAATAACAAAAAACGAAAGTTCTTTCGTGGGGAATCGGCTTTTTAAAATGTTGTCTAACAAGTCGTGGACCTCGAAGGTTTAATAAACAAAAGATTAGCATCACTATGCGAATGGGGGAAGGAGAGGAGTGCAAATAACATTGTGGCCGCGTTATCTGTACTCATTCAAAGGGATGGGAATTGCCAAAGTTTCTTGCACTCCAAGAAACAAATAATACTACTACAAGTTTATAAATACCAAATTCTTTTAGCATATTTTAATTCTTCATCAAATGACATTCTTTGTTTTACTTATTCAAATATGATCCTTTTCTAATCTCATACATTTCAATCAGCTTAGGTACTGAGACGTGGATTTAACACATTGTAGTATGATGAGCTAATTTGGTGACTAAGTTTCGACATTTGTGATAAAAATATAAATGTAATATTGTATAAGATACATCTATTTCTCTAACGATGATAATTCACATGTCTTTAAAAGATAAATACGCAAGGAAATTGTTTATTATTCCACTTGTGATTTTGTGTTCAATTCTTCCTCACCTAACATAGCATGTATCAAAAATGATAGATTCGTGAAACACGTATATCAATTCCCATAACATGGCAATTTCTGTTCTTTTTATTTTTATTTATTTATTTATTGGTTTGGTACATTCTTCTCTTGGGGTAGGCCGTAGGCCTCAAAAACCTTAAACAAAAGGGCGGAATTTCCCAACAAGTGGGTTATAAGGTTCCTTGAAACACAAGCACACGGCAAATGGCCTTTAAAATTCAGGTCAAATCCAAAGTCCAAGCCACCAAAATTTACCAGCCGTCTCTCAAATAACCACACACCTCGTGTCCTTGGAATCCATAAAAAACGTGAATCAGGTGAATATCAATCATAAAAAACGACCGGTTGATTATGAGATGACTAATAATACATGTTCAGTCATTTGCGAATTTGATGTCAAACTTAAATAATAAATTAACATTGCTTTGATATTCTAGAGCTCGTTTGGAAATACTTTTATAATGACTGAAAGCGTTTTTTATGATAATGATTTTGGAACCAATATTTAGTAAAAATGTAAGTAAATCATAAAAAAGCCAAAAATACTTTCACCAAAGTGCTTTTAACTATTTTAAAAGTACTTCAAAACAAGCTTATAATATCAACTTTTAACGTCAGATAAAAATATGCTCGAATTAATTGGTCTAGCTAATTCTCCACCCTTAAGAATATGTTTTATTTATTAAAAAAGTTGAGGTTCTACTTAAAACTTAATTGATTATATCGTTTACACAATACAATTTTCATGAAACGAGTATATTGTTATTGTAGCAAGTAACCCTTTAATCAATAATTTTTCAATTGGAAGTAGTAGATTGTCATGGGTGGAATCACCTTTGACTTCAACGGACTGCATTCATGGGTGGAATTACCTTTACTCAATAAGAGAAAAAGATTAATCTACCATCAATTATTTCTTTTATTTTCCTGCATCACAAATCTGACCTGGCTTTTTTTAACCAGAATAGAGAAATTGACTTGAAAGAATGAATTTTTGCTCACCACCCTCGAATGACGATGCTGTTTGTCGATTTTTTTATTATTGTTGAATGAATTTAAATTAAATATTTTTTTTAGTGGATAAACACAATTTTAAAATCTAATTCAACCGTAATAAATAAAGTGGTGAGAAAAAATGCAACATTTCCAGAGGTACTTGCGTGTATGATCATCATTCCCTTAATATAAGCACTCGCTTGCACAAACATAAGCGTTATGATATCCACACATCTCTTTTTACTTCTCACACTCTTTTAATTTTCGATCGTCGGATTAGATGAATTAAAGAAGATCAATAGACATAAATTAACAAAAGATGTGTGAGAAGTAAAAAAGAACGTGGGACACATCCCCAAACATAATAGCCCTTGTCTTGAAAGCGGAATACCCAATCTCCCTGACCCCTTTCTCAGTTCTGACTGAAGACTCACAGCTGAAAAATTAGGGTTACTTTCTTGCAGAACCCCTGAAAAATTAATTAAATCTAGTTCACGCTCCGAAGTGTGTATATATATAAATTAAAAGTTCCTGATTCTATCTTTTCGTCTTGAACAAAAAGACATTTCAGATACTTTTGTTTCGGGCTTTGAATCTCCATTTGATATTCCAATTTTGAACCACAAGGCAAGCATTTTAATTTGATTTCCCCAATTTTCTGGGCTACTTGGATTACGACGGTTCAGATAAATTTTCCTTGCGGAGAAGTTGTTTCTGGAAGCAAGACAGATCGAAATGCTCTAACTTTTGTGTCGATTTTTTGCCCAGTTCTCTGGTTTTTCGTTTACGAAATCGAAAATTAGAACATGGGTTTTGGTCAATTTTTCGATTTGATAGTGTTTTTTTTCCGTGAATTTCTGTAGGATTTGTTTGTGGGATTGAGTTGTGCGTTTGAACTTGCAAAGGGGATTGAGTTGTTTTTATTTCTGGTTCTGTAATTTCCAAAATCTGCCCATTCCGTAATTGCATTCGTAGCTAAATTTGGCAAAATCGTGTTTTCTTCTTAGGGAAAGTTGGTTTTTTGACAAGGAAGATTTTCTGGGTCGGATTCGGTTTGTTGGTATTGCGCGTCTATATTCATTGAATTTACAGCAGTTGTTTTACCTTATCTTTTGTTTGGTTGCCGAGAAAATTCATTAGAGGGAACATTCGGAAACTTTTACCGACTCAGCCAAAAGAATCATACTTTGCTGATGCCATTTCCTGTTTAAGCTTTTTCTCAATATATGTTATGAATGTGAGCAATTTCCTTTTCTGCTGTATAGAATTGATTGTATTGATACATTGATTGATTCTGTTGTTATGAACATTTCATGGACAGGCTGAAACGTTTCCACTTCCACTCGTTAAGCCCGGGATACTCTGCGCAACTGGAAAGAGATCTTTGAGTGGAAATGGCTGTGGCTTTTACCCAGCTTTCATGGTGGTTGTGGAGTGGAAAGAAAAAAGAGCCTATAATCCCAAAGGGGTCCTCCTTAAATTCTTCCCCTGAGTCGAGAAGGGTGAGGCGCAAATGGTGTAGTCGGGAAGAACGGAAAATTGATAGGGAATATGATGTTGTTCTTGTGCCATCTGAGGGTGTATGTGTTTCTGGTTCTGAGTCTGAGGACTCCGATTGGTCGGTTGGATGGTTGGAGCCTCTTGGACCTGGGTTCCCGAGTGATGACGATGCAGACGATAGTTTTGCCGTGCTGGTTCCATGCTATGGCCATGTTATTCATGATATGGTGGGGGATTCAAAGAACAATTTCTTGAGCACTGTTGGGAACATCCCAGATGGCCATTCAGATGGTAACAGCTTATGCCTTATATGACTATTTATCTCTTATTACAAAAACAAAAACAAACGTTTTTTAGCAATGCTTTCATGTATCCTGCTTGATGAAATACCATATCATAGTTGATACGAAAATTTTGAAAACCTTAATTTTAAATGTTTAGTACCTGTTCATTATAGGCCCTCTTTAGAAATGGAGCTCTTGCTTCTGTTGTTATTTTGGGGAAAAAGGAAGTGATTCTCAATTACTATAGGCTGGTTTAATGTTAGTGTTATGGCATCGGATATATGAATTTTAAGTGAGGATCACATTTTTGTTATAAACAACGTCGAGTTAATGTTGCAACTTTTTTGTTTAAGGAATATAAAAGAGCATTTACAAGTTAGTTTTTGAACTGGCTAAGTTTAGGAATATTCTATGTAATAGTAGAATCCACTGAAGAAATACAAGTTTTAGGAAATGGCGTTTTTCTTGACTTGATAATCAATAGATATTGGCACAGCTTGAGTGCCGGGCGGTAGACACATATCACACACAATTAGATCTTGTGTCTATATGTGATAAAAGTTAATGGTTGAAATTTAGCTTAATTTGGTGAATATTGGCTTCCTCTATTTCTGTCCTGTCATTTTGTCCAGATTTTCGTGCATATTTTATGTTCACTAAATTTCACCAGTCATTATATTGATGCTGCAGTTCAACTAAAACTATGACATTAAGTGAAACTTCAATGGTAATAAAAGTGGAAGTAAGCACTCAGGAACTGACTTTAAAAGAAATGGATGCACGGTCTCATATATTTCTTGAATTTTTTAAGTAAGAGATTGTCCAGATTCAGTTTTATGTGATTTGGCACCTCTTATATGCTTAGTAGGTTTTTTTGCTGTTGAATTTAAATATCTCAACATTTGGCACTTATTATAGTAGTAATAAAGCTCTATATTTCAATGGAGGCTTTTTTGGATTGGAGTTGTTGGGAAGGGAGGTTAAGTTCAATTGGTTGTCATCTCCGCTAAGCTAATGAAGACGATACTTTGCTTTATTATAAGTTTGTTTGAGTAGTCCTTATTCCTTGCGTTGACATGTTCAGATCTCAGAGACAAATGTACTTGGTAGATAGGATGGGGGCTTGATGAATTAATTGGTATTATCGTTGCTCCTATTTGTGGTCTTTACCAGGAACTTACGGGCTTTGATTGCTGTCTATTTTCTTCATAAATTCCACCAGAATCGCATACTTTGTTTATCTTATCATGTCTCTCTATTTCCTGGGTGTTTGCGGTAGTGTGTCTTGAAGTGGTTTGTGGTAATTGTTATTCAGCTTTCTTGTTGAGATGCAATTGCGTTCTAGTCATATGCAAAAGAAAAATTCTCTCTCTAGAAAAATGCTTTTCACGAGTAAAACAAACATCCAGTGCTGACTTGTTCTCTGCATTTTGCTTGGTTGTGCAGAGAGCACGAAATATATGGAAGAGTGGCTCTCTTCTCTGAGAAACAGCTGATGCTGGATGAAATGGATACCGGCCTGGTTTGATGTAATTACTTAGTAGTAGGGGACTGGCCAATATAACTTTGAGTAGCGGACATGGCTTGTTATGGAGGATTCTAGTCCCAGTATTGCCGGAAGGTGGTTTGCGTTCCTGCTGCCTTTGCCTTGGGATTGGCTGGGAAGGAGGCTGCTGCTGCCGTCTTTCTCGCAGTTCAAAATTAAGTACGGTACTGCTGTGTATAGCTAAAATCTTGAAAAAAAAAGAAAAAAAAAGAAGAGTTTTGGCTTGAGAAACTCTGAGGAAAATGAAGAAAATTGAGAAAAGGGAAAGAAAAGAGATGGTGATATGTGAATTATTTGCCTTAATTGTGATTGTTGGATGTAAATATGTGAAAGCATGAGAGCTAGGCGGCTTAATACTTCACCCTAATATTTGTTTGTAAATAATTTAGAAATTGTAAATATTATGTGAAATAGAAGAGGTTCTTCCTAATGTTATTGTACATATTTGTAATGTGTAAATAATCATGTTGTAAACAATTTGTGAATAATTAAAAGAAAAAAAATTGTAAATAATTTGATAGCTCTCTCTCTCTCTCTCTCTCTCCCTCCAAATCCTAGATCCTTGAAGGATCTAAGATCACTTTCCGATGTATTGGATAAGTTCTATGTGTTAAGTGATGAGTGACATAATCTCATCCAAAAGAAGGGGTATCAAATTGACACCAACTGGTATCAAAGTTCAATACTCAATATGAAACACTAGCTTTTGGTTTAGCGGTACTGCTCCGTTTCAACATGGGAAGACAATTTCAAGTTCGAATTCTCCATCCTGTTGATAAAAGTAAAAGAATGAAACTACAATGACTTAGTTTAGCTATGGAGTAAACTAAGATGTAATGACTTAAGCTTGTAGGGTATGGCACCTTTGTTTTTGTGTTAAAATGGTAATCATCAATTTGTGGGGTGAATAGTAAATGATTGTAGCCGATACTACGAAGAAAATTACCACCATATCATCTAGAGTTTAGTTGGTTGTAAAACACAAGTCTTAATCTAATCTAAATTACCGTAATGAAAATTTAAACTTGAGTGCATAATAGGAGCACATTGCGTTAGCCAACTGGTTGTTGGCTAGCATCCAGATGTGTCGGGAATGTGCCTTTTAGCATCACATTACCTTGTTCATTATCGTTAATTTCAGTAATTAAAATGCGAAATATTTATCCTAGAACATTCCACAGAACATAATATATATTAATTAATCAGTCACTATAAACTGATAAACATTGAACCTAGAAGAAGATGGAACTCTTCCAAAAATAGGTAAAACCCAAGTTATTACCAAAAAAAGGGAACAAGAACAAAGACACGGATTCCAGCTTGTATTTTCCAACAAAACAAGAGAGGTGACCAAAACTAAATATTAATTCATGGGCTCTCACTCTTTTTCCCGAGGATACAGCCAACCTGGCACACTCAGGGAATGCCACGTGGACAGCCTCACAGAGGGCTCTTGCATTTTTGGAGCTTTTCCAACACCTATAACTCAGGCGAAGTATCATCTCCTCCAATGTCTGGTCCTGACCAAGCCACCATTTGTTAGAGTTGTGTGTGATCAGGTCTCTTAATCTTTGATTAATTCCTTCACTAATCATGGGATCATGATTGATTAATTATTTTCTGTCATTCGATGCGTTTAGATTTTGTGTTTAATGGGTTTCTTCATGTAATCTTTGGTTTTGTTTGGAGAGAGAGAGAGAGAGGTAGAGGGAGAGAGGAGGAATGTTGCATAGAGCAGCAAGCAACGCATATTCATGGTGGTGGGCCAGCCACATCAGGACAAAGCAGTCCAAATGGCTTGAACAGAGCCTCCAAGGTATGTATCTGCGTGTGTGTTTGTGTGTAGATATGTGTGTATATATATGAGATTTTGATCCATTTGTTCTTCCTTATAGTTTTGAAATTTCTTCCCCACTTTTTCAATTGATTTGGTCCAAATGGTGCCTTTTTCCCATTAATTTTTCTTTTATTGGGATTAATATATCTTATACATATGTTACGATTTACAAGACGATATCTTAAATTACTATAACATATGCGGAAGAAGAATCGAACTTAGGTAAAAGACGGCAAGAGCTCACTGCCCTAAGAAAATGGCCTAATGCTCTATGTAGGTTATATAGGTTGTAGCTGGAAAATGTTGGATGAATTGTCACAATGATATTTCGATTTTAGTACATTGGATTACAGATGATGATTTTTGTTTAAGAGGTTTATAATCTGATAAGCTCAAATGCCTGCTATAATAATCTGTGACTTGAATTACAGATATGGAGGAGAAGGTTCATGATACATTGAAAATCATTGATGAAGATGGGGACTCCTTTGCAAAGAGGGCAGAAATGTATTACAGGAAGAGGCCGGAGCTAGTTGCCTATGTCGAAGAATCTTTTCGCGCCTATCGAGCTTTAGCAGAGCGATATGATCACTTGTCAAGAGACCTTCAGAGTGCCAACCGCACCATTGCCACAGTTTTTCCTGAGCGAGTTCAGTATGCTATGGAGGACGAGGATGATGAGATTGCTTCTCAAACATCAACTTCTTCTGACGGTCCTAACAAAGTGTCACCGGATGCATCCAAAAACATTCCACAAGTCCCCAAGGCCCCCAAATATTTGAGGAGCAAATCCACGTTATTGTCGAGGAAGGGCACGCTTAAGAGAAATGCAAGTTCCGCTAAAGCTGCCCTAGCGGCTACTCTGAGGTCGGGGCTGACCAAAGAGGAGGCACTGGGAGAAATCGATAAGCTTCAAAAGGATATTTTGGCGCTGCAGACGGAAAAGGAGTTTGTGAAGGTTTTTTTCGAACGCGGATATGACAGGTATTGGGAGTTTGAAAATCAGATCACTGATATGCAAAAAAGAGTCTGCAAGTTGCAAGATGAGTATGGCATTGGCACTGTTATCGAAGACAACGATGCTCGAACTTTGATGGCTGCCACGGCTTTGAAGGCATGCAAAGACAGCTTAACAAATCTGCAGGATAAGAAAGAGAGATCAGAAGAAGACGCGAGAGTGGAGCGCCAACGGGTTAGAGAAGCCTGCAGCAAGTTTGAGAGCCTCAGAAATGAATTTCGTTCGAAACACACAGACTGGTGCGACACTGATGGGTATGATTACGAGAATATTGATGTAGAATCAATAAGTCTAGATCAAGAAATACATGATGATCAGGACTCGTTGCGTTCTAGGGGTTTGGAACAGCTCGATACGAATTCAAACACCTCAATTTCTATGACAGAACTAGCAGAGAAAATTGATAGACTTGTGAACAAGATAGTGAATCTGGAAACCGCAGTCACTTCTCAGAATGCTTTAGTAAATAGATTAAAATCAGAAAACGACGAGCTTCAGGCGCACACTCGGAGCTTGGAAGAGGAAAAAGAGACTCTAATGGAAAATGCGGACAAGATGAGCAAACGGCTAAAGGAGTTGGAGGAAGAGCTGCGCCGAATTAGAAATTTAAACAGAAAAGTGGAAGACCAAAATAACAACATCCAAACACATTTTACAGAAGCTAGCTGTAATCTTTACCATCTGTCAGGAAAACTGAATAGTGTGAAGCATGAAGAGGAGGATGAGAATGCCGGATTGTTCCAAGATGTGAAAGCAGTTGATGCCAAACGTGAAAAAGAGATTAAAGAAGATTCAAATAAGGCAGTTCTTGATGATGATTCGGCGGTCTTGGAAGACAAAATGTCAGAAGGTGAAATTAAAAAGAAGAATGTTACAATTCTCGAAACTTCTATCAAGGAGGAAGACGAAGAAGAAAAGCAATCAGACCAACCAATGCAGCATGAACAGGGAGAGGCGCAAGATTTGTCTGAGGATGTTGATCCACAGGATTTGGAACTGGAGAAGGAAGAACAACCAAACTGGAGACAGCTGTTCCTAAAAGGGTTAGAGGATAGAGAAAAGGTTTTGCTGGAGGAGTATACTTCAATTCTCCGCGATTACAAGGACGCAAGGAGGAAGCTCGGCGAAGTGGAAAAGAAAAACCGGGATAACATCTTCGATTTAGCAATGGAGATAAGGGAATTAAGGGGTGCTGTTGCCTCCAAAGACAAAGAGATTAAACATTTGAAGCAAAAACTCGGTTCCCCAGAAACAAATCCGGAGGACAGTCCTGCAACAGTATATAAATTTCCAACTCAGGAAGGCCCCCTTGAGAGTCCAACTCAAGTCGTTGCATCCCCATACTCAACTGTTGCATCACCAAATTTGGATAAAGAGATGATTTCCAGCTACCTTGGTGAACAAGGAATAGAGAAATTTGAGGACTCATCAGGAAACTTAAAGGTCTTACCGAGAAAGGAGGAAGAGAGAATAATGAGGAGAAGACATACTGTTAGACCCCATTCTGTTTCAGCAATAGAAGGAAGGTTCCGTTCAGACATTGATGAGCTGTTGGAGGAAAATTTAGAATTTTGGCTGAGGTTTAGTACCTCGGTTCATCAGATACAAAAATTCCACACTTCGATACAGGATTTACAGTCTGAGTTGTTGAAACTAAAGAACAAAAAGAAGCATGATGGACATGCTTTACAATCGGATGCCAGGCCAATATACCGACACCTAAGAGAGATACAAACGGAACTGTCATTATGGTTGGAACACAATGCAGTACTAAAAGATGACTTGCAGGGTAGATTATCATCCTTGTGCCATATTCAAGATGAGATATCGAGACTCTCCAGTTTAAGTTCCGAAGGAGAAAATATGGAGCTTATAAGCAAATATCAGGCGGCAAAGTTTCAAGGCGAGGTTCTCAACATGAAGCAGGAGAATAATAAGGTTGCAGATGAACTGCAGGCAGGCCTTAACCGTGTTGATGGACTCAAGGTTGAGGTCGAGAAGACACTAGCAAGACTCGATGGGGAACTTGGGATTTCGGTATCAAAGAGCATTAACAACCCCAAACGCTCAACGAGTAAGTCTCGAATTCCCTTGCGGTCTTTCTTGTTTGGGGTTAAGTTGAGAAGGCAAAGGCCATCAATCTTTTCCTGCGCCAGCCCGTCATTACAGAAACAGCACAGTGATTTAGGAGCTGCTGCGCCACCTCCAGAACAACCTATGTAGATGATCTGTTTTATGATCTACTTTTATGTTTTGTAGTTTTAATGTCTTCAAACATTGTTGCACACAGGAACCCAAGAGAGTTTAAGTTCGTTGTGTTAGTTTTTTATTTGTATTTTTTATATTGTTGTATGATACTTATTCAGAATCTTCTCTTATTTGCTTAATCTTCCCTTATTTGCTTAATCTTCCATAGAAATTGAATTATTTACTCAAACAGTTTGTATGCAGACTGTCTGTGTTACATGGTTATGTGAAAATACTACATACATTGAATGATACAAAAAATGAATAACAAAGTCGACATCCAAAAGGAAAAAACAAAATGATTGACAACGTGATAGTGTGCATACATTTTTTTTTTAATAATTAAATTATACTTGCAATTTTTTTTTATAATTAAATTATACTTACAATTTATGAATAGTAAAATACAGACTAGCTATTCCATTTGCCTAGGCCATCTTTCCAACTGATGTGGCTGCTTGCGCTACTCTCAGTGTCAACCTCTAACATATATTTTGCCTAGGTCATATTTCCTGATGATGCTAATGTTGGATTTTTTGATCGATGGGTCTGGGGGGCCCACTCTAACCACTCTAACGATATCAATACTGTCCCCAACTTTATCACCTACCTAATCCATTAGGTGTGAGGTTTTACCATAAAAAGCCTCGATGTTAGCTAAAGTGAGGTAATCATATTTAAACCCCTTAGTTTTCTTTATCCCCACCGATGTGGGACTTTTAACAGCTATGAAGGCTATCCGGAAAACCTAGCGGCCAAACAACTAGCTCACTCCTGCGAATAGTCAACTCCTCACTGCCGAACACTGCCAACTTCGCAAGCTGATTGGCTTCCTATTCGTTCGTGCCATGCATGTGTGACAGGCATCTCTTAAACCTCCCCAGAAGATCTTATACAAGCCTCAAACAATCTTCCTAAATAATATTTTTTTGAGTTATTAATTGAAAAAAGAGGGTTGTGGTGGTTGCTGTTAATGTGGTACGAAAAATATGGTAAATGCAACATTACTCTAAACTTAATGAACGTATTGGTGAACCTAATTCCTTACATTGTTCTACATTTCACTCTCAAAATTTTATGAATCAGATTGTGTAGATTTTCTAGCTTTGAGATTCAATGTATTTCCATATATTCACATGTACAAGTGACAAGGTATATATGAGAGAGGAGATGGAGGAGATGTTCGCGTAGTTAGCTGCTGCAAGCAGCTAACTAGAAGGAAGAAAAGAAGGTTGTCTATTACAGCCAACTAGGGCTCACCTACTTAACCCAATCAGTCATCTTCCTTAGATCAAGGAAAAACTTTATCTACTTTACACTAATTAGTCACTTCCCTTAAATTATGGAAAAGCTGATTTACAACAATATGGCCTTAAGCTTACCCTAGAGATACTACCCATGGTAGCTAACCCTAGAAGTTAACCCTAAACCCATAGGGACACACTTCATTCCTTCAACACTCCCCCTCAAGTTGGATCGATGAGGTTAATTAAGCAAAGCTTGCCCAAAAAACGATGAAACGGAGCCGATGCCAGCCTTGGTAAAGAGATCTGCCAGTTGATCATGGCTTTGTGCGATGATGGTCTATATGACTTGAGTTTGAACTTGAGCTCGAATAAAATGATAGTCTACTTTGATATGTTTGGTTCTTTCATGAAACACAAGGTTGGCAGTAATATGCATGGCTGCTTGATTATTGCACATAAGGGACATCGGGGACAGAGTAGGAAACCCTAACTCTGAAAGGAGCCCTTTAAGCAAAATAAGTTCACAGGCAGTGGCTGCCATGGCTCGATATTCAACCTCTGCGCTGGAGCGAGCAATGACATGTTGCTTCTTGCTCTTCCAAGTGACAAGGTTTTCACCCGCAAATGTATAATACCCTGTGGTAGATTTTCTATCAAGTGCATTCTCTGCCCAATCTGCATCCATGTAGCCATTAATGGTAGCAGACTTATTGTTGTGCATGATGATTCCTTGCCCTATTGAACCCTTGAGATAGCATAGGATTCTCTTAACAATGTGAATGTGATCAACAATGGGAGAATGCATAAATTAACTTGCCAAGCTCACTGCATATGTGATATCTGAGTGTGTGATAGTGAGATAAATAAGTTTCCCTACCAACCGTTGATAATAACTCACATCATGCATGGATTTTCCCTCTATGTTGAGTCTCAGTTTACAATCCACGTAAGTGATGGCAGGTTTGCAATCAAGCATGTTTGCTTCCTAAAGAAGATCCAATACATATTTGCGTTGATGTGGAAATAGCTTGTCACATCCCGGCCCGAACCCCCACCACATCCCGGGCTCGACTCTACCGTAGCATGATATTGTCCGCTTTGGGCACCGACCATGCCTTCACGGTTTTGTTTCTGGGAACTCACACGGGAACTTCCTAGTGGGTCACCCATCTTGGGAATGCTCTCGCTCGAACTCGCTTAACTTCGGAGTTCCGATGGAACCTGAAGCCAGTGAGCTCCCAAAAGGCCTCGTGCTAGGTAGAGATGGGAATATACATATAAGGCTTACATGATCCACTCCCCTGGGCGATGTGGGATGTTACAATCCATCCCCTTTAGAGGCCCAACGTCCTCGTCGGCACACTTCCGGCCAGATATTGGCTCTGATACCAAATTGTCACATCTCAGCCCAGACCCCACCATATCCCAGACTCGACTCTGCCGTAGCATAATATTGTTCGATTTGGGCCCCGACCAAGCCCACACGGTTTTGTTTCTGGGAACTCACATGAGAACTTCCCAGTGGGTTACCCATTTTGGGAATGCTCTCGCTCGAACTCGCTTAACTTCGGAGTTCCGATGGAACCCGAAGCTAGTGAGCTCCCAAAAGGCCTCGTGCTAGGTAGAAATAGGAATATACATATAAGGCTTAGAGGATCCAGGGGAGATGGGAATATACATATAAGGCTTAGAGGATCCACTCCCCTGGGCGATGTGGGATGTACATAGCCTCTTTGAAGAAGTTGCCATTTCAATGCCCAAAAAATACTTAAGCTGCCCTAGAATTTTACTGAGAAATGCAACATGAGATGCAAAGAAATAAAGAAAACTGATGCTTTAGGTGATAGGATGTTGTGAGACATAAGTAACATAATCCTGCAACTTAGTTGGAGGTTTCCTAGTTCGAGGATGGTTTATTTTAATCACTTGAGACTTTGTAAGAAGTTGTGAGTGATCAGAATGGGACTCATCGTCCTTTTCACTGGCAATAATTGGACTAACATTGATTAGGTTAGTTTGCACTTCTTCTCTATTTGAACTCATAAAGACTGGGTTTTCTTCCAACACTAGAAGATCAAAGTTTTAAGGGAGTGGAAATAATTCTAACAATTCCTCCTCCTGATTTGTAGTAGTGCGTTTGGAAGTGAAATAAGGACAGTCCTCTTTGAACTTCATATCTCTTGACACAATGCACTTCTTAATGACTGGATTGAAACACTTATATCCCTTTTGAGTGGAAGAGTACCCCATAAACACACACTTGGTAGCCCTGACATCTAATTTGTCACGTTCAGGCTTGAATGTGAACAAAGAAAACACATCCAAATACCTTGAGGTGTGTTAAATCAATTTTCTACCTTTAAGTGTTTCATAGGGAGATTTGTACTCTAGCACACGACTTGGGAGTCGATTGATGAGATAAGTGGCAGTGAGAATAGCAAATGACCAAAACTTCTTGGGAACATGCATGTGAAGCATGAGAGCATGAGTTTTCTCCAAGAGGTCCCTATTCTTTCTCTCGGCTACTCCATTTTGTTGGGGAGTTCCTACACAGCTGGTTTGATGTATGATACCCTGAGAATTTATGTATTGAAGCATGTTGTTGGATAGAAATTCAGTGCCATTTTCTGATCTTAAAACTTTAATGTTTGATTGAAATTGAGTTTTAACATGCATGTGAAAATCTTTGAAAATGTTTAGGACTTCACTATTTGATTTCATAAGGTATAAAAAACTCATTCGAGAGAAGTCATCAATAAATTGAACAAAATACTTAAATCCTTTCATTGATTCAGTTGTTGGTCCCCATACATCAGTGTGTACCATTTCAAAAGGTTTACTTGTCCTAGACATCGAATTGCCAAAAGGTAGTCTAGTCAACTTAGAAAATTGACATGTATCACAAGTAAGATGAGATTTACAAAAAAAGGGGAAACAATTTAGACAAAACAATGTTTGAGGGGTGAGCTAATCTCTTATGCCAAAGTTGGTTTTCATCTATGGACTTCAATTGAGCTTGAAAAACCTAGGAAAACAGGCATCCTTGCACAGGTAGTAAAGTCCATTTATGAAGACCCTTTCACCAATAATCTTCATGGTGAGAACATCCTGAAAAATCACTTTATCTGGTGAGAAACTAGCACGGCAGTTTAGGGTATTCGTGATTTTTCCAATTGACAGAGGTTGGAAAGGAAAGGTTGGTACATATAAGGCAGTTGAAGGTGTTTTGTGTGAGAGTAAGTTTATTTCTCCTTTGCCCAAAACTAAGACATTTTTTTTCCATTTGCAACTAAAACATGTGAAGGACTTGAAAAACGTTTAAAATGATGCAAATTTGTGACTTTGTTTGTCATATGATCTGTGGCGCTTGAATCTATTATCCAACAATCATTTTCAGTACTAGTTAATAGAGCAGTAGTGAAGACTTTAAGTATACCTGGTGCATCCTTATGTGGTACTTTCTTATTTCCAGCAAGAGAGCCACCAAACTGTCATAATATAGCTGTATGACTGCCTTTATCCTTGCCTTGAGCTTGTGAACCTCCTTTGTGTCCCTTACTTCGAAGGTAGGCTGTAAATTCATTGATGACTGACAATGGATTGATAGTGAACTCCATGGACCCTTGTGATACATTAGAAGAGTGAGTATTAGCAAGTTGAGCCTTGGGGTGAGGGTGAAATTGTTGTGAGGACCTTGGTATTATCTTTCCATCTTTGCTAAACTTAGGCTTGAGTTCAGGATGAAGTTCCCAACATTTTTCTTCCATATGACCAACACCATTGTAGTATTTGCATTTTAGGTGTGTATTTCTACTCTTGTACCCTTTTGCTTATGAGTTCTTGTAATTTGAGGCATATGCACGAGTCTCAGTCAATCTTGAGCTGTGCTCAGCATTCATCACT